CTGGGATCAACTCCAACTCGCCCGTGACCCAGAGCATGAGAGGCTGCATCGAAACTTGATGGAGGAATGCAAGCGGAACTGGCTTCGAGGCGGAATTTTCTGAAGATTTTGAGGGACTTTTGATCAAACTTCTGACCTTGCAGAGCAGAGTTATTCTAGAATTTTGTTGTTTTATGGAGAGTCAAGTTTCCCTGCTATGCTGCGCCACCCACGCATCTTAAAAACTGCATTTTTTTTATTTTTTATCCTAGTTTGGTCGCATTCAGCCGAAATCTGTAGGAGTATTTTGTTTTTAAAGGATACTTGGAAATTGACAAAATGACTAGAAGGTGGCCATTTCGAACCAAAATGGCTGAAGTTGAGTCTCTTTTTGGTCATGGCTCTTTGAGACTTTTTGCCAGTTTTCTGATGGTCGTCAGTCCTATCAAATTGCATGTTGTCGCCGTGCGAAACAAGCGTTGGCGGCTAACCTTTCAGAATAATTCTGGGGGACATTACTGGGACAATTTATTCACTGCCAAGCAGACTTTCTTTCAATTCGGCACGACAACATACCCGTCGTCGCCTTTTTGTTGTCTTGCTTGGCTTCTTTTTACATGTGTGAGACAAGTCAAAAGTGAGAGGATGGGGTGGGTCCGCGTTGCGACTCAATCTTTTTTTACACAAGTATTTTAACATGGGGACGGATGGGGGTGGGGTGGGGGTGGGTGTCAACAGCAGCAAGCAAGCGGACACAAATGACCTCATGTAATGTGAGCCACTGAGCGTTTTGTGATCTCTTTGACTTTGGAGTGGACCACACAGCGGTCACCATGGAAGGAGGATCATGTTTGAACTTCCTCTTTTTGTTCTCCTTGTCACTAAATCGGCTTGACCACACTTTTAATCACATGTCATCATTTTTTGTTAGTTTTTTTAACAAATCTGTACATCTGGGTGAAGAGCAGCGGAAGATGAGGCGAGCGATGGTGACCTAACCCCCCCATCGTCTTCGCTTTGACCTCTCCTCTCCCTCTTTCAGGCTCTTTTCCTCCCGCATCAGTCCCACGGGGAGATACCAGATAGCCATTACGGCATACGCACACACAATCTGCATCAATAATGTAGAAGCTTGTGTGGAGCCCTGACGAAAGGGGTGCGTCTAATCTCTGCCCTGGGACAGCAGAGAGAGTGCAACAGCATCGTGAGGGGCAGGTGGTAGAAAGGGATGCAAAAAGGGGGTGAGGAGCAGCGAGGGATTGGGAGTGTGCCCGCGCGGGGCGGGGGGAAGCGACCAATAAAAGGGAAGACGAGATGGGGCGAACGGCACGACAGGCGGAGAATGGAGAAATGAAAAGTAGCGGGACAGGCTATGGGGGATCGGGAGGGGTACATTAGGGGAAAGGAGTGTGACGAGAGCGGGACAATGGCCAGAGTGGGAGAGGGAGAGAGTGGTGGTGGTGGTGGGGGGGGATTAAGGGAACGATGAGATCATAGCTCGTCTGCTAGTCTGTTGTCATCCCGGTCAGATTGCTAAACCCCCTCCCGACCACCAACACCCCCACAACGCCCACCTCCCAAATCCTTGTCCTCTCCTGGAGTGCGGATGGCTCTTTTCCTCACTGTGAGCCCGTCTTCCACACTGTGGGGGAGCAAGAAAAAAACAAACTCGGGGGGGAAAAAAAGCACAATGATGACGAAGAATCCAGTTTTTCCCCATCTTCTGCAACTGGTGAAAAATCCTCAACACGCAACCTCTGTGACATACCTTCTGATAAGGATGCAACTTTCTCGTACGCACGCACACACACTCCCACACATCCATCCATCCATCTTCTGATCCGCTTTATCCTCACAAGGGTCGCGCAGGGGCAGTAGGCGGGGGACACCCTTAACCGGTTGCCAGCCAATCGCAGGGCACACACAGACGAACCACCATCTGCGCTCACACTCACACCTAGAGACAATTTAGACGATTCAGTTCACCTACCGTGCATATTTTTGGAATGTGGGAGGAAACCGGAGTACCCGGAGAAAACCCAGACTTAAAATGCCCGCTAGAGTTACTGTGGTTCACAGTCGGACCCCCAAAGTGGAACACGTACGAACCACTCCGTTGTATGCATGTGAGCTCGCTTTCCTGGGCTGATTGACCCCCGTATTCTTCTACAAACCAGCTCATTGCTCCCCATTCTTAACCTCCATTCATCACACGTCAAGAGCGTCGTAAACCAAGGGCCCGCTGTATTTGTCTTCCACAGCCCGTGTGTTACACCGCATCACGACACGCGTGCTCGGCGGTTGACCGCATCGTTGTCCTCCCACAGGCCGCGCAATTCTCCGCCGCTATTAAAATCCCGTCTGGAATTTTTGAGATGGAAAACGTGTAGGCACCGCGCGCGTCGCTCGAGTGTTATTTTGATGGTGCGAATCGTGCCGTAGAATCCTGAGTAGGCGGGAGCGGCAGCGAGTGAGTGAGTCACGGTCCGCGCTTCACAATTACAACACCGTGCGGCCCGCTGTCAATAACATGGAGCAAAGGAGGGCTTGAAAGTGCGCGTTTCTCGTCGCGTTACGTAACAGCCCAAAAAGAAAAATGAGTGTGCAGATTCATAACAGCGCGGCAGATGTGCCACCAACACGATTGTGTTACGCAAGCCACCAAATGGTTCTGGGCAGGTTAGCGCCGCGCAGATTATCAGAGCGATCTATCTCGCCCTCGGGCTGTCATCCGCTAAATCCATTGACATCCATAAGCCGATGATTTGGACCCGTTTGTCTCACAGTTTCCACCCTCATTTCCTGCGTGGCTCCAACTTGTACGCGGCAAGGCAAACATGCAGTACGCGCGCTGTTTCCACACCCGCATTCTCACTGCGTGTATCTGGTTTCATCGGAGCAGCAGGTGTATTGAGATGAGAGATGGCGGGGTTGTTTTTCCTCTGGCCGTAGGAAAGAGTGAGTGCGCTGGCAGGAAAGAGGCGGAGGAGGCCGAGCGTCCTCGCATTGGCCGCTAAACACAACTTTGAGCACAGTCGTTTCAGTGTGTTTCCTTTTGAGGGGAGCCGCTGTGGTGAGGGCGGTGGCCTCGTCTTCGCACGGCGATGGGGGATCGTACAAAGACTGAAGACGGCAGTCCTAAAAAGACGAGGACTGCAGGTGAAGCCATCGTGCTGCTGTCCCTGCTTGTGTTTCTTTTGGTTCTTTGTTTTTCCTTATCTTCTCTTTCAGCTTTTTCAGGTTTTCATTTTTTTGAAGCGAAAAGGATGCGAATGAACTTTGTAACAGGCAGTTTACATCAGGATGTAATTAAAATTTTTTTTTTTTTTTTAAATTGCGGGCTGCACCAGAGTTGGCCTCAGAGGCCTTTGTTATACTTTGTGGAACGCCATAAAGTAAGCTGCTTTAAAATCAGAAGTGTCCTTGAGCAAGGTACACCAATTGCCTTTTTTCCTCCAGGTTCTTATTTTCAATCATTAAAAAAAAAAAAAAAATTAAAAAAGCAATCGATATCAATAGCAGCCAATATGAAAGACTTCAATCCCGATATACTTTTCAGTCTGATCGCCCAGCCCTATCTCGGACCATTTTTAACTCCGGTTAGTGGGAGTTGAAATCACAAACGCTCCAAATTTTAAGTCTGGTCAACACTTTGGTCACAAATATGCCTTGGTTTGGCTGTTTATGTTCCAAAAATAGTTGTTGAATAAAAAGATTCAGCCCGCAAGCTTGGAGTTTCATATCTGTGGTTTGATTAGGACAACATCCGTCGAGTGAGACAAAGTCATTGAAGAGCGACTAGAAAATGCAGACTTCGACCGTGGTTTGCAACCAACCTAAAAGTGTGAAGAAAAATTAAATGAGGTGAAACCAACAAGTCTCAAGGGGGGCGGGGGGGGGGGGGTATGCCTTGGAAGCCACAATTCACACCAAAAGCCAGGAAGCGACCAGCACCA